AAAAAATAAATAAAATACATAGAAATCACAGGAAAGTAGTTAAGATGACTCTTTAGAAAATAACAGAATGCAGTCGCTATCCCAGGCACAATACATCCCATGAGACCAGAAGAAAAATTCTCCCAAATTTAATCAATACTATTGCTTGAAAGAAAAGTCTTGTTCCCAAGTATAGCTTCTTTCCTGCATCAGAATTATTCTTCAGAGGTTTTGCATTCACTGCTCAGAACTAATAAGTCATAGTTGCAGAGGTTTTTGACTACAAAAGTTCTCTTTCTCTCTCTCTTTTAAATTTGTGAAAAACATTTTAAATCCTGAAGAACATGAATCAGAAAATACTCTTCATGTGATGTTAGTCTTTAAAATAGGCAATGTTAGAAACCAGTCTGGAATTATATTTCATTTAGCATAGTGTAGGAAAAGAGCAAAAATTAACAAACCTAGTTTTCAAACCCATTAATATAATGTACAAGTATGTCATTTTCCCAGCAATGGAAATGGGTGTGTAATAACGGTAATGAATAAATACATAAAAATGAGCAATGTTTTAGGTAAAGGATTTTAATCTGGATTTTATTTAAAATTATTTTTACTATATTCAATGTTCATTCATATTTGTTGTTAAGTTTGTTGAAAATTTCCTATTAAATAACCTTAGAAGTTACTGCCTTTTGGGGTTCTGAAAAAAATGCTTAGTACTAAAGCAATAAGTCTTATTTCCCATTGACATTTCAACCCTACTTGTATTATCTAAAAAAATCAAAGTATATTGTAGACAATGCTTCTAACCAGGGCTAATTATCCAGATTGTGTTTATATACAAACTTTAATCCTAAAATTCGTCTTTGTTTCCATTTTTTTGGAGTTATTTCCAATTTATGCATTTCAATGCTTTATCATAGATCACAGAAGGAAAAATAAACCTTACGTTTTGTTGGTAGCTTTCACTGAAAAGAGAAACAAGGAAGAATAAACAAATCAAGGTTTATTACCTTTCAATGTTCAGTGGTTTCTATTTTCCCATTATGTCTCTAACACCATTGTAGAAAGGTAATGAGTAATTTAATAGAATGCATTTTTTAAAAGTTTATCTGTTGAGTGACTATTTTAAAACATCAGGTACATATATACACTTGGTGCAGTAAGCAGATTGTATTACTCTATCTTTAACAGCTATTTCCAGTGGCACAGCAATTAAATTCAATTTGTTTTTCTGAGCTTCTGTATGAATTCAGTTGAACAACTGGTTATACAGAGCTTTTTTGTTGTGGTGGTTGTTTTGGTAAACAGCAACTTCCCTGTTCGATTCAGTTTTGTTTTGTTTTTGTTTTTAAACTGAAAAGTTGTTTGTATATAGTGAGCAGAATTACACATTTTAAAAATTCTGAAAAGCACTGAAAAGCAGACCACTGCCTTTTGAGCTATCTGAATCTTCTCCTATTTTATAAATTATCTATGTGGGTACTTAACACTGTGCCAAAATAAATGACTGAAAATGAAAATACCATCATCATTTATCTACATAATACAAATAACTTGTTAAACTAATTCCTCCTCTGATTTATCCAGTCGCAATGGCATGGACTGGGTAAACTTTGTATATGTGCATATAACATTCTCCAGTGTTTATAAATAGTGCATCTTGGGTTGCTTTGTGGTAGTGACATGTATATGAACAGAATATTATAAATAAGTGAGTCTATTAAAAAGTCTTCTCCAAGTCAGAAAATATTCATTATACAATAATATTTCAAAATTGTTTTCTAATACCACCATCAGAGGTATAAATTTAAAATCGTATTTAAAATAAGCTATTTAAAGCAGAAGGTATAACTATCAAATACAGAAATTTAATCGTCACACTTTTTATTCTAATCCCACTCAATAGATTTTAAATATATGTATCTCTTCCCTGACATTCCCTGAAAAGAAGAAATGTTCTTAAACCTTAGCATGTTAAAATAAAATGACAGACTAGTAATGAAACGAAATGACAATTCAAAAGCCTCTACAGCTATGGAATGATAAAATCCCAAAAGGCTTTAGTCTTTAAATTATTCAGGCTGTCTAAATTTCTGCTGCCACAATATCTTTTTTTCGGAAGTGGAATAAAAATGGCATTTTGCTCACGCAGATCTAGCTGTTTCCTGGGTGGTTGATTCTAGAAAAGCAACAGGCTTTTCCCCCTGCCTTACAAGAAGCAACAGTTAGAAACTCTAACAACTAGAAAACTGCTACCCCACGGTGGTTGGAAACAGCCAATAGAGAAAGTGACAGCTATGGTTTCAATCCATTTTGCAAGAGCTTCAGAAAGAGAGGAGGAAAAAATGAAATAAAGAATACTAACTCTGAAAGGAAAGAATTGCGCTATGTTATATCGCATCCCCCCAATCCCTCTTTCCACGGTCTCTTTGATCATTAGGTTTTTTTCCACATGCTTAGGTTTCTAAGGCAAAGCAAAGCAATAAACTCGACCCATTCCGTTTCAACTTCAATTCGCAAGATGCGGCGAGACAAATTCACCACCCCCGACGTGGGAACAATACAAGCCTCTCCCCAGAAGCTGGCTTGAGCTCTTTCGCATTAGCTGGCAGGAATGGGCTGTTGTCTCAGCCTGTTGCTCCTGCCACTCGCTGTGCGAGAGCCTGGAAGGAGGGAGGGGACACCGTGTGCTTGGGTGCTAGGTGGCAGGCCCTGGGTCGGGCTGCGGGGACCGCGCCTGGCGAGGAGGCGGCAATGGACCACGGCCGGGGGACCCTCCAAGTGCAGGCCTCCCAGCCGCCGGCAGATGGTGCCCTGCGCGTCGCAACACGAAAGGAAACCCTGCGAAAGTAACGCTGACTCCGCCCCACCCGCTCCGCCGGCGCCAGGCACCCGTCCTTCCCCAAATAGTGCGGAGCACGTTTTCTCCGGAACACCGCAGTAGCCCGTGTGTGTGTCGAAAATACAAACCAGGGCAGCAGGGTGTATGTGCCAGAGTGGGGAACGCGCGCGGAGTGGGACTCCCGGGGCCGGGGCGAGGTGACCGCCAATGAAACGCAGAGGGCACGGGGACCCGTCCGTTTCGCATCTGCGTAAGCCCGGCTGCGGGGCCAGTCGGGAGGCCACTCACCATATTCACTTCGGAGACCATGTCTATGCTGGCGACATCGATCCTCATCCCGACGTCCACAGGGGGCCCTGCCGGGGAGGTGGAACACATTATGGACATAATCTCAGAGTGGTGACAAGCTGGGGAGGGGACAGGGGGCTTCCCTGCGCTTAGTACATTCCGAATGGGCTCCCGCCACCCCCACCCTTCCAACCCCTTGCAGGGGACAGCCTGGGAAAACAGGTGTGGGCACACGCGTGATGCAGTGACTATGCAAAGGGTGTGTCGGGCCGGGGGAAGGTCAGCTCTGCCTGGGGTTTCGTCCACCTGCGACTAGGGGTCCGGCGTGCGTGCGCGCGCGCGCGCGCGCGTGTGTATGTGTGGCCAGAGCTTAGGGCGTAGTGCAAGCTTACGAAAATGATATGCTTCTTCTTCTTCTTCTTCTTCTTTTTTTTTTGACATTTATCTTTGACAGGAAAGAACTAGATATGCGTTACAGGTTGAAAAAAAGATGAAGCATTACCTCCAAAGTCCGGCCGCAAGCGAATGTCATATCCTTTGAGCAATCTGTCCACTGTCTCTTTCACGTATGACATGTTGCTGGGCTCATTGGCGCTGAAGGGAAGAAGTAGGGACCGTATTCAGAATGAGCACAAACTGCGAGCAGACATAAAAATAGACAGGCACACCTACCCCCCCAAATAATGAGCTACATGATCCAGCAAGCATGTAAGAAGAAAAACACCAAGAAAAAAAGAGACATTCAACAACGGCAGCTCACCTGTGGGCACAACAGACCATGGCAATCATCACAGGGAAAGAGAGAAGCCCCAAACTCTCTCGATTTTGTACTGTCCACATTACTAACTCTGATTAAAGAATTGTCTTTTCTGCGAAGATTCAAGGAATGCAACTTAGTCGGCGGCAGGGCAGTAATTCCCGAATGGACCTGCGCATGCGCAGAGGGTGCTCACTACCAAAAGACACCTTGTGCCTTGCAAACAATATTCCTAGTGGAACAGGCAACAGATTTCAATCCCTTTAAAGTTCCTGTTTGTGGTGCTCCGCGTCCTCCGTGTAGTAAAGGATATCCTGCTGTTTCCTTGCTCGTGATCCTACGTGTATGTGTATATACGGATCTTTCTTTGTGCATTGGAGGTTGCTATGTGCATTTCCCTTCTGCCTTCAACCTGATTTTTTTTTTTTAACTCAACTCCCAGGGATCTGGCTTAGGCTGCCTGTGATTGGTATCTTTTGTTGACAGTCACGGTGGTCTTAGAACTGGGAGTCTAGATGAGAGGCGGTTCTCTGGTTGCCTGTGTTTGTGTGTTTGTGTGTTTGTGTGATGGGCGGGGGGGACCAGGGGGAACGAAGTGAGTGGAGAGGGAGAGTCGGAGAAGAAGGAAACTCAGGACGTATTTGAGGACTCCAAGAATCAGGTCCCCTTGAGAGGTGTTTTAGGACAACCTGGCTTAGCGTTGTCCTTCTGTGTGGGAGGGGGAGGAAGAGGGGCGGATCAACTTTTGCACTCGCTCCCCGGGCTCCCCTACTTTTTTTCTCTTCCTCTCTTCTGTCTCTCCAGGCAAGAGAGATGAAGGAAGCAAGCGATGAGGCAGCATCTCGGGCAGGCAATCCTTTTTCTAGGGTCATTCCCCGCAACTTTTCTTCTAAGTTCTAGTAAGGAAAACCTCTATCTTAATTGCCAGGGTGTTCGCTCGTATTAGTTACCCCAAACAGGACCCTGAAACACCCAGAGGCTTTAACCTCTGTTTGCAAGTAGACCGGGGTTCTGTGGGAGCAAGTGTTGTTTGAATTAAATTAAATTCAGTCAGTGCAATTCGATAAATGTCATTTAGCACATGTTAGGCGGGAGGCCCTCAGCTAGGCGTTTGTTTGTTCATTTGTTAAATAGTGTATACTAAATCTTTACTATGTTCTAGGTGCTCTGGGACTTAGAGATGACTTAAAGAGGATTCTAGGCCTAGAGAGATTCACAGACTAATAGAGGAGACAGACACAAATATAAGTAAATTCAGTATATCTCTAGATAGTTGATATAGTGACAGGAGTGTTGTTAATTCTACCAGAGAGAGGTAGATATGGTTTCCAAAGGAGAGCTTTTTGCAGAGCAGGGAAGGAGGGACGTTCCAGGAAGAGAAAACAACATGTGCCAATTGACTTGATAGAGATGTTGACAAACTGTGAGACCAAAAGGCCTATGGTCTGCTTAGACAGCTGAACCCTGAAATGATAGCAGAATATAAAAGGGGTGGAGGTAGAGATGGAGGGTGATGAGAGTGCAGGGAAGCTGAGGCCAGACTATAAGGAAAGTGACATACTCCACCACACAGATGTAAGCTTCTGGAAATCACTGACAGTTTCACGTAGGGATCGTTGGGGTCAGCTTTAGGTTTTCAAAAATGTTCTGGTAGAATAATCATGATAAGAATGATTAACATTTATCAGTGTAGGGTGTTTGCCAGTTATTGTGCACATTACATAGATAATCTCATTTAAACCTTATAGCCATCCAAATGTGGAAGATATTATTATTCTTCTCATTTTATAGATGATGACACTGAGAACAAATCAAGGTAATGTAATTAGTTTAATATCAAATAGCTAATAAATGGTGGAATGAGCATTTTAACCCAGAATCTATGGACCTATCTACTCTATGCTGTGAAGCAGAGACCCCAAGAGGAGGAACCAGAGACAGTGAAAATGACAAACATGAAGAAGGGTTATTATTCCCAAGCAAAAGGAACTAAAGTCAATAGCGTTTAGCATGGAGAGGAGGTGATAGACTAGTGCAAGTTTTCAGAAGTATAAAGGAGACATCAAAGAGTTGAAAAGGTCAGGACGTGGAGACTTTTGAAAGGTGCTTAAAGAATTGTACAAACACTTGCACATGTGTAGATCTTGACATTCTACATATACATCAATTTCATTTTCTCATTGGAGCCTCACAACAACCTTAAACATTGTGGCCATTTCTTCCTGGGCCAATGTTAACTCAATCAGGTTTCTTAATTTTCTTAAAAGTATGTCAGGTCTACCTCTCTTTAATTCATACTGATCTCCTCTTAAGGAGTAAAAGAGATTTATTTATGCTTCAGGTCCTTGCTGAAGCACAGTACCTCTCTATGCTCCACAGCTCTTTGCTAAAGTTACACTGGAGAGAATGAAATACATAGAGGTTTACTTTGTTCACTAGTTCATTCATTTATTTTTCAAATATTTATTTACTAAGTGTCAGATACTATGCTAACAGTTGGCGATCCAACAGTGGAAAAAAAAAAAAACAGAATAGAGAGCCCCTTCCACATGCAGTTTGTCAACTGGTCCAACCATTGGAGGTTGCAAATCATCACCCTTGGTAAATAAATTCAAATCACAAACGATGTATCTGTTTGGTGTTTACTATGTTTGTTTAATCTATACAGCCTTTATTGGGATATATGTTTTCCAGTTGATCATAATTCTTTTTGAATAACAACCAGGATTTTATTCAACAGTGCTTGCCAATGAGTCAAGATTTTATTCCAGAATTAAGACTATTGGTGACTTTGTATACTTGAATCCTAATGTTTAGCATGCCTCAGTTGGGATCAGTTTTACTCAATGTGGCTTTTAAATTATGCCCTCCACTTACGTGGAAGGGTACTACAAGAAGCCGTATTTATGATCACATCTATTATTACGATGCTATTGAGGATGGAGCCAATGTATCACTCAGTATCTGATGTGTGAAGACCTTTGGGAGAAAAAATTTCCCAGATCCTAGTGCTCTGAAAAGTATTTCATTTCCTGAAAGCTTGTATCTTATGGGCAATAGAGATCCTAAAATTCATTCACTTCCTTATTTGCTTTAGCCACAAGGAATCAAAGAATTATAGGTACAATTCAGCTTTAATCATTATTTAAGATCTTAATGATCAGCATTTTGATGTATTGCATTTCTCTCTGATGCCTTAGAATTTTAAATTTAATTTTCTTCTGTCACTAATTTAGAAACAGATATGTTGCACAAAATATACACAGTGCGTAAGTTGTCTTGAATAATTTTTGGAGTTAATTGGGAAAAATAAATTCAAAATAATACAGAGAAATAACTAAATAATTGAAAGAATTTTAAACATCACAGCTCCAGAAACAGTATGAGATTTGTTATGCCTTGAAAAAGCCAATGGTTGCTTCCTCTGTAAAGTTGCTCATTTTTCCCCCAATCAGTCCTCTTAAATAAGATCTTCCCTCCTTGAAGAATCAACTCAATTTCCCTTTTTTTTTTTTTTTTTTTTTTTGTGAAAGTTGCTCCTGAGAGCCATTGGTCATCCTCTCATCCTCTCCTGACAACTCTTAGGGGAACAAAAAATTTTCATCTAACTAGGATGGAAGTGTCTCAAGATCAAGAAAACTTACATATATTCTTAGTGAACATGATTATTGATAAGAATTTAGAGTAAGCAGCCTTGAATTGCTACTTTGAATTGGGATCAAACTTGAAAATGATGGATGGCTTTACCTCCTCTTCCTGGTCCCAACTTTAAAACATCTGAAAATCTGTTGTCACCACATTTAGCCAACAGCCTCCAGTTAATCAGCATTAACCTTTCTAGTGAATCCTCTTCATCTCCGTTCATCAGCCTCAACTCCACAGTTTGTTTGAACTAGGATTTTTGTTCGCTTGGTCGTTTCTTTTGGATGTGCTGAATTGTCTGTGTGTGTGTGCGCGCATGTGCGCGAGCGTGGATGCACACGCTAGGGGTAGGGGTGGGCAGTGAGGTGGTGATGTCAGTGGAAGGAATCTCTTATCACTTTCAAATTAGTTCTGCTCATTCATTTATTCTTGTAAATACTGAGTCCAAGCTAAAGCTGTTTATTAAAAAGTGATTTCAGAGATGCTGTGTAGCTTTAATGCACACAGCACACTTTAAAGGGAGGACTAGTGGAGATTTTGTTTAAAAATACATATTTTCATGTATTGTTTAAGAATATAACTAAAGTCCACTTCCATTCGGTCTTACTTCAATCAGATTTATTTAGCACCTGTTTTGTGCCCAGCAAGTATGAGACTCTGCAGTCATAGTTAACCCATTATTACCTGTCCTCCAGTTGGCTTAAAGTCTTACTTAAATGGATATGTCAGGTTGGATATATGAGGAAGAAAGTTGATAATAATTGTTGAGAAGTAATCCTAAGCAGCTGCCTTCCCATAAGTGAGGACAAAATAAATGCTCACCCTAACTCTATCCTCCATTCCCCAGAAACTGACCTCAATATAAAAAAAAACAACTAAGCACATAGTAAAATTAATGTTTTCAACTAGTGGCTAAATAACAGCCTTTCCAATAAATAGTAGGGAAATTCTATTTTTGGAAAACAATAAATATAAGCACTTCCTTATACTTCTTGCTAAAATAAGTTTCAGTTGAGTTAAAGACTTAAATGTAAAAAAAATCATAAAAATAATAAGTACCTATAACATAATCACTCATCACTTAATAAATGATTATTGAACATCTTTTCTCTTGCATGTATGCTGATCAAAGCAGAAAAATTAATAGAAAATGTTATTAGAGATGAATATATAATTTTAAAGTTATTTTTAAAACATACACTTGAAAAGTAATTAATTATAATATTTAAGAGGTACTTTCATTAAAGTAGGAATATTTTACATAATATTGCAGGTAGGATACTGCAATGAGACAACACAATTTTTTTTAAAGATTAGAAAAGGAAGAAACTAAACCTTCATTATTTCCACATGGTAAGTTTGTCTAGAGAAAAAAGTCCAATAAAGTCTCCAAACATATAAGAATACAATGAGAGTTAAACAAGCCCTTCTACTTCAAGATCAAATAACATTTAATACTTGTTAGTAGTATCCTTATACACAGCAGTTACAAACAAAAACATAATAGGAAACCTTACTCCATTACAATAATAACAAAAATTCTAATGTATAACCAAATAAAGAGCATAAAACTA